TACTAGGAGCAAGGACGCTACTAGGGGCTCCTGGCATTACTACTACTGTAGGTTAACCTGCCCAGATTCATTGCGGGATTCCGAGTTCCTTGGACTCGCGCCTCGGTGCCCGCGTTTACCCAAAAGCTTTGGCTCTGAAGTCACATTGATCTCGTCGTTATGCGATATTGCACACATCATGGATGAGTGTAGGAAGCTTGGTTGAGCACTCAAAAAGATGAACAACATCAAGACGTTTCTAGATGCTCCTCCTTAGCTCTATGACAATGTGGTCACAGACCTACAGACCAAGAGACCATTTCTTGATCACGTCTGGAGCAACATCCAGTTCTACCGGTCAGATCGACTTGCGGTCGACCTGAAAGCGCTCTGGTCGATGCAAGACGGAAGGCAGAGGAGCCCCGATGGTGGACCGGATTTGCGAGTCGAATGGAACCTACGACCTTCAACCGTTTGCATGGCACAGAGGTCGTCCAAGTTGGCATTCATTTGTTTGACAGTGTCGGGGAGTGCGGATGTCGGTGAGGGTGGCTGTCAATCAATGTCGGGGGGGCCTTTTGTCCCAGTACCCTTGGGCAGCTTAGCTTTGGTAAGAGTCTTGGACATAGTTGACTTCTCAGCCAGGTTTAGCGAGGAAGCTGAGGCCTCCATGACTATTCCAAATGCCTTCCGGTTGTAGGTGAAAGAAACGCTGATGGTAAGACACTTGCAACTGGTGACGCTTGACGAGCTTTGACAAGTTCAGGATTTGAGGCCATTTCCAACTCAATCGGCCATTCCTATCCGATCACTCATCATGAGTCTTCTGCCACCCATGCCATCCATGCCCATGGCTATGATGCCCATGTCTACGCTAGCAGTGCCTGTGAATGCGCAGCTGGTGGGTTTCCAAGGTGCTCTGATGATGCCAGTAGCAGCTGTGGTGGTTAATGTGCCTGCTTCCCCTTGTGGAACACCATGCTCTACTTCAATCTCAGAATCGGAAGCAAGCATGTCGCGGCAAAACTCAGAAGAATCAGAGCAAGGCACCTGATAGGGTTGCTTCAGCGATATATTGTTGTTTAAGTGGAATAATGCATGTGTTCCTCAAGCCACAAGTATCGCTATTAGGTTGGAGGCCATTGCTACAAGTAGGGTGGAGGCCATCTCTATCAGGGTGGAGGCCATCGCTATTAGGTTGGAGGCCATCGCTACTAGGGTGGAGGCCATCTCTATCAGGGTGGAGGCCATCGCTACTAGGGTGGAGGCCATAGCTATTAGGAGGCCATCGCTTCTAGGGTGGAGGCCATCGGAGGCCATCGCTACTAGGGTGGAGGCCATGGCTATTAGGTTGGAGGCCATAAGAACTTCACACTTATGTCAACGTCTGTCTCCCGGAGGTATTTGCTTGGAGGGCTCGGTTGCTGGCCGTGTCTGGGACTTGTCCCAACGATCCAAAGGTTGTCGCTATGTCCAAGCTGCCCTGGAAAACTGCAGCGATGGAGAGCGCTTCACCTTGGCTTTGGAACTTCAGGGGCACGTATTGGCAGCTGCCAGGTCTGCCTGTGCTAACTACGTTCTGCAGAAGATTATTCAAGTGCTGCGTCCTCAAGCATGTCAGTTCATCATCGATGAGATCATGAAGACTCCTGCAGATGTACCGATCTTGGCACGACATCAGTACGGCTGTCGCATCCTACAACGACTCTTGGAACACTGCCAAGCCCAACAGATGGAAGGACTTGTGAAGCTTTTGTTGGAGGATGCCACAGCTCTTGTACGCCACAATTACGGTACCTTTGTGATGCAACAGATCTTTGATTTCGGTATCTTGGCTTGCCAGGTTTAGTCGGATTTAGTCTCAACATGTCTCAACGTGATTTCAATAGGTTCACAGTCCACAGTCTCTTGCAAGACTTGTTTGTTGATTTGTC